TATTTACTGATCCAACAAAAACATCACTAGACCAGAAGAAGATAAAACGGTCTTCTTCTTCGGACAAATGGGAAGATCTCCAGCTTCTTCTTGTCTCCGTATCATCGCTTGCTCCGGTGGTGATGATGCTACCGAACCTACTGCTAACAACGCCTTCAACGAGGTTCTCTTTCCTTAATCCTCGATTATTAGTTTCGGATTACTGGATAACAAGTTTCTAATTTAAGATCTGATTGTGTTTTTTTTAAATCCTTTGATTCCGCAATTTCGTAGATCTTTTTTTCTCTGTGTGTGCTTCCGACAGAATCTGGTCGGATTTTTGGCATTACTGAAGTTTCTAATTTTGTCTACTTTATTGATTACTCCTTTGTTTAGGAATTGATTAGGGTTTTTTTTTCCCCCGTTTTTGATTTGTTAGGTTTTAATGGTTTTGTGTCTCTTAAGCTTTCTATTGGGGGGAAAAGATTGTGCAAATCTTATAATGAAATGTGGATAAAGCAGCACCTAAGATTGGATTCAAATTTTTGTTTTGTATGTAGAACAAGAGCTCTGGTGATAAGCGTGGATGGAGTTTCAGGAAGAAATCTGGGAAACAACGAGGGTTAATCACTAGTGTAGTCTCTGAAACTACTCCTCCTTCAAGGACAAGAGAAACTCTTGAATCTGCTCTACTTAAATCCCCATCTCCTGACCATAACAATGTCTCTGATGACAAGAAGAGCCAATTACCTCATGTTACCTATGTGGTGGATGAGAAAAAAACTCGGTCTCCTGAGGACAAACCGGAGTTGTCGGTGGTGGAGGAACAGATTGACCATGGAACTGAGGCGCCTGTTCTTGTGGAATCAAAAGGGACTGAGACTGAGGATGTTGGAAACGAATCTCAAGTTAAATCAGAAGGACCTATAGCTGTTGATGCATCTGCGATAGAGAAAGACATCACTCCCGAGGTTGAAATTGTTAGTAAGGTTGAACTGGACGAATCTGAAACCGATGATGTGATCGAAATCAGAAAAGAGAATGATGAAGAAGAAGTTAAAGAGAAGTTGGATGAGTCTGTCATCATTATCATCCAAGCTGCCATACGCCGTTTTTTGGTATGGTCTTGTTATCTTTTATATTCTATTATGTTAGGATGTGAAGAAGCTTTCTTTGACTCTATGAACATGTTAAGGAATGTGAACATTTTCACAATTTTTAGCTGAGGGAGATCTGTTTATCAAAAACTGTTCTTACGGTACTGTTGTTGAACTGCAGGCGCGAAGAGAACTTGTGAGGCGCAAGAAAGTTGTTAAACTTCAAGCTGCAGTTCGTGGCCACCTGGTTAGGAACCAGGCCATGGGATCACTGCGTTGTGTGCAAGCTATTGTCAAAATGCAGACTCTAGTTCGTGCTCGTCATTCCTCTAAAGATGGTAGCCGTGTTTCAGCAAACTCGGTAAGGTTTTGAGATGGTTGAATTATGTTCCAGGATCATTTTCTTCCGTATTAAATCTGTGGACCAATGCATCTGCACAAAAACTTCTCGTTTCAGGATAAGGCGGAAACAAATGCATCTGCACAAAAACTTCTCGAAAATAAGTTTGCTAAGCATGTATGTTTTCAAACTTGTTACTTCCTATTTGAGACATCTATTGTGACAGCTAAACTACTCAATTTCTTGTATACTCATCTGCTTGCATATTTGATTATAGCTAATGGAGTCAACTCCTAAGTCGAAACCTATCAGCATTAAGTGTGATCCAACAAAGCCTAGTTCTGCTTGGAACTGGTTGGAGAGGTGGATGTCTGTTTCAAAACCTGAGAAGACTTCAAAAGCAGATTTGGCAACGGAAGAGCAACAGTTTGAAGAAGCTCAGAATATCAAAGTGTCATCTGAAGTTGACTTGGTGAACTCTGACCCAACGTTAGAGACCGAGACTGAAACTGATTTCTCAAGCTATGGAGCAAGTAAGGTAGAAGCTCATCATGTGGAGTTATCGGAGACAGAGAAAATGAGCCAATATGATTCACCAGAAGCATCTGCCGAAGTTGATCACGACTTGATCCAGTCTCATCCACTTGCTGCTAAGGATCCAGATTCTTTGCTTGAAGAGTCTGAATATGTGGATGAACAGCCTAAACCTTCTCTGAAGCGCAAGGCTAGCAATCCTTCTTTCATTGCTGCACAGTCAAAGTTTGAGGAGCTAACTTCATATCCAAACAAAGCAATGACTCTGTCTTCTAAAGATGGTGTTTTGGGTGAAGAAGGCAAAACAGATACGGATTTTTTAGAGGCTGACACTACGAATACTAAAAGAGGTCACTTTGTGGAAGATGTTGCTCAAGCTGAGCTCGGTGGATCTGAGTGTGGCACCGAACTCTCTGTAACTTCTTCTCTTGATACACTGGACAAGAAGTCAGACGCTGAGGGTGCAGAGCCCAAGGTTGAGGCTAAGCTTTTAGAGGATGACACCCTGAAAACCGACCAAGCTGAGTTGATAGAAATTGATGTCAAAGATGAAACTCCACCGAGCACTGTAGAGGACCCAAAGGAGAAAGTTGAGAATGTCGAGGATGAAGTTGAAATCTCCGCGACACAGCATGAATCGGTAATTAGTACACCAGATTCTAAGAAGAGACAGGCAGAAGGTGAGTTAGAGCCTCAAGCTTACCAGTTATCTCAGGAAGCTTCAACTCCGATGACAATCACTGAATCTCAGGCAACACCGTCCAGTCAAGCATCTTCTTCAGTTAAAGCAAGAAAGGGAAAATCCGAAAAGAGTGGTTCGAGCCAAAAGCGGAAAGTTAGCAAGAAAATAACATCAAGCCCGAAACAGGAAACTGGTACCGGTGAGACTAATACTACAGAACAAGAAGAAGGGAAAGAACAGAAAAGCGGGAGAAGAAAATCTTTCGGGCTTGATCAAGAAGCAAGAGATAGCAGTGGAGGCAAGAACTCTCTTCCTCGGTTCATGCAGCCAACACAGTCGGCGAAAGCTAAGGTTCAAGAACATAACTCACCAAGATCAAGCCCTGACCTTCAAGAAAGAGAAGTTGCAGCCAAGAAGAGACATTCATTGCCTGTTGCTGCCAATGGGAAACAAGGTTCTCCTAGAATTCAACGGTCTGCGTCTCAAGCACAACAAGGAACTAAAGGTAACCAATCTCCTCATTTACTTTCTCTTCGCATTTTGATGCTCTAAAGCGTCGTGCTGTAGAAGAATAGCTTAAAAATGTTTGCTTTTGCCGCGGTTGTTCTACAGATAGAAAATGGCAGAGATGATTAAGTTGACCGGACTGAAATCTTCCGGTGATTTGCAATATTTGATTGTTGGTATGTGTTTTTCAGACAAGTCCTTAACTCTAGTTTCAGACACAACCAAAGTGAGAGAAGTGCAGAGGAAGAGCGAAGAGTGGAGGATATAGTCTTTTGTATAGAATCGTTTTTCCTACTTGTTTTCTTCTTTTAAAAAATTGTTTGATTTTTGTGGCTAAGAGATT